AGAGGACAGTGATGAGAGTGACAGTGACAATGACCTTGTTTTGTGTGACGAAAGTGAAAGCGAAAGTGAATCAGATGATGACAGTCATACTGTAACAATACAAGAAGGCACATCAACAAGAAGTGGCCGCAGAGTAGGACACTGGTCCACAAGATATACTGATTTCGTTCAGTGAACAGGAACTCCTTATAGAGGTATAAATTGAAGGGGGTTGGGGGTGGGTCACCTCTTATATAAAGTTATATGAGGGTGGGTCAAGAATTAACTAATGGGCTTAAAGGGGTGGGTCACGTTTTTTCTTTCATGGTAAAACAAAAAAAATCCCCCCACCCCCCCACATAAATAATGACCAGTCCCTAAGTTTACACACTATATAGATGCACAATCAACCTTGTAATAATTTTGTAGGGTTTTTAAAACAATTTGGTCGGTTGCATTACAAGACCAAACTGGATGTGTCCACATTATTTCCTGTTTTACTATTGAAAGACAATTCCAGCTTGTTCAGTTGCCAGTAATTATTCCGAGAAAGGAAGGAAAACTTAAAATCTCCCATTTCTGAGAATATGTCTCCTAATCTGTCGTGTCTTACTTATGTTTCAAGAAACAGCGAATGGTAGAGTTGTATTAGTTCGACTTCCGTGATTTTGCGCAAGACAATAGATCCAGAACTGCAACGCACAAAAACGAAAAGTTCTTGACGGCAACGAAGACTTTTTCGCCATCATGTCGCACATTGTGGAGAACTTTGAAGAAAAGGCTAACTTTATAGACGAAAGGGAAGCCGAAATGATTCGAGAGAAACTCGAAATACTCGTAAGCAACATTCTAACCCAAGTGGAAAAGCACGACAGCCGATTTCAGAGTTCATTGGTCAAAAGCGGAAGTGTTTACGAAGGAACGAAGGTTTGTGAGCCAGATGAGTTCGACTTCATGATCCGATTGAATTCTCTCACGAACACGCCGTTTCTTCATCCCTGTGACAAAGGCGATGGATATGTGAAGCTCTCCCTTGAAAGCCGTGAATGGGAAGACTTCAAAGATGCCGACGGCTTTTTCAGTCCAAATCTGCTATCCCGCTTCTTCAAGAGGCTTGTGAGTAAATCTCTTGACGATATCAAAGTACCTGAAGGTTTGGCCGTGTTTAGAACGAGACCATCATTATCTAAATCAACTTGGTGGCCTGTGTATGCAGATCTACTAGGAAACAGTGGTGAAGAAAGCCAATCTGGTGCTATGTACTCGGAAAATCACGGCCCAGCTACGACACTTTATGTACAGTGGCAAGGAGGAACTAGTTACCAGGATTTAAAGATAAGTGTTGATCTGACTCTGTCCATAGATTACCCCATTTCCAAACTGCCTGCTCCCTTGGCAGAAATCCCTTTGGCTGAAGCGAATAGCATTCTTCAGAGGTGCGGATTTCACGTCGTCCCCGCGGGCTTCGATAGTTGGCGCATTTCGTTTTCTATGGTCGAGAAAGAAGTTCTGGCCACTTCTCCTGACGGCTTCAAGCAGTGCTACCGAGTACTGAAAATCGTGAGAGATGTTGTGTCGAAGAAACTTGGATGGGATCCATCCCTGGTTCCATCGTACGTGTTCAAGTCAGTTCTTCTGTCTCAGCTGTTCACGAATGGTCATGATCGTTGGGAAAAGGACCTTCGCTCCCAATCGATAATTGAACTTTTGCATCACGTTATGCAAGGTGTAAAAGTGGAAAAGATTCAGAGTTGCTTCCTACTGAGGTATAACCTGCTCTCTCTGTCCGATCACGAGAACAAGCTGCGACAGTGTGTCCTGGAGGAAATGCTTTGCTTGATAAGAGGGATGGAAATGGCCTTTTCTAAGGAAAAAGCCATAGAAAGAAAAAAGCAGATAAGGGTCTTGGAAATGATTGATGTCCTCGATTACATGATCTCGTGTATTCTCCGTGGAAAGAATCCTTCTGTTGTCTGGAATAAAGTGTTTGTCAACATCAGCAACGTTCCAAACTCTAGGAAGCATGGTTGGTTCATGAACGAGCTTACCGACCTTAATTGCACAGAGCTTAGTAAGGAAGCTTATTCCAAGTTGGTTCAGATATGGAATTTTACGGAAGATTTTTTCAGGAAATTATTGATCAAACTTAAAGGGGAACTGAACTTGTTGGCTCAGAAGTTTAAGATCTTGCTCTTTAAGAAGAAAGAGAACTTCGAGCGTCAACACAAGCGTCTAACAGAAAATGACGTTGGGAAAGTGTCTCTTCATCAATATGCCTTTGATTGGATGGATGACTTTGTTGACTATTACATCGAGGACGACAACTCAACTTTGCCAAACCTTCATAAAGCAATCCGTCCTGAATTTACATCATCAGGTTTCTTCCAGGGTGTTGCTGAAGTGGCAACGAGAGAGGGCAGTAGCAGAGGCCTTGCTATGCTGAAACTGCGATTTAAGCCGTGCCTATTCATGGTCCCAGAGGAGTTCCTTATGGACGGTGTTGTTGACTATGTCATCCACATATTTGTCCGTGCCAAGGAAGTATTAAAACTTAAACTTGAGCACATCTCAATTCCAGAGTTGGATCTAGATTAGGCACTTTGAACGTCTATTGGCAACCTTGCTTCGCAATTAGATTTACAATTGTCGAAATGCTTCGAATCAATTACTGAAAATCTTCTTTTACTGTATATGGTTGGGTTTAAATATCAATATATTACAATATCGTAGCCTGTGTGCAGACGTTTCCTCCCCCACCCCCCCCCTCTCCCTCAGAAAAATTCTGGAATTCTCTTCTCCCGATTTTTTCTGAGGGAGGGGGAACGTCTGTACACAGGCTAAATATCGATGTCAAATAAAATGATTAATCATCCATGATTGAGGGTCTTTGAGCGCTGATAAAGGCATTGCGTGACACGTTGACGCGAGCAGCGTTGTCTGTACTCTTATCAACAAGGGCAAATTGGCCAATTAGATTGCGACATTACTGCCAATTGTGGTAAAACATATTATACCTACTATGGAATATTTGAAGTATATTTACAAGGCATATAATCTTTAAAAGGTAAAAACCAAACGTTTAAGCTCAAGCGAACTTTATGGATATAGAATATTTATTTTAAACAACTTGCTAAAGTCTTAGCTGTGTGATTTTCCTTTGATGAAGAAATGCTTTACTGTTTATTTTTCTCCTTTCACGGTATTTACGGAATCCCGCTACCAGTGTGTGTCAGTAACTAATTATCTCGGTTGTAAATATTCGTATGAATTAAGAATTTTATTGACTTCACTTGACTTGACTTGTTGTTTAGCATATGTTTTTAAATATGGCCCACGGGTGTGGTTTGCAGAACCAGTGTAATTTTGGCGGGCGAGTGCTCAGTTTTCTTTTGGTGAAAATTGTAGCAGCCATAGTTTCTTTTTACTGTAGCGGAAGGCTGGGAAGAGAAAAGAAATTCGTACCGAGGGGGTCAGCTACAGTCAAAAGGAAGGAGAGGGGAGGGGTGGGGCAATGAATATTATAATTAGAAAATCAATTAAATGTTTTACATGCCCGCCGTTATGCTGCCCCGATTCTTTGTTAGAAATTAATGGTCTATGATACAATTCGAGGTTTCGGTAAAGAGAAGTCAAAATTGATTGTGCTCTTTCGATGAGCACAAATTCGATGGCCCAGCAGTAATGGAAACATGTTGAGACCAGTTTCGCTACGACACCCACAAGGGATGGCCGAATTTTCACGGAAACATAAATTTCTCATGCATTGAGTGCTTAGGGACAAATTGTCACACGACAAAACTACCATGTTTTCCATGCGTGACAGCTTCTAAGGTCAGGATTTCGGATTGTTATGTCAATTGCAAACCAAAATTTAACAAATAGATTCCATGTTTTCGTACACCTATTCAGAAATAGATCACAGATGGTACCTAACCTGAGAACCAAAAAGTGGCACACTCGGCAAGTGTATCAATGATGTTCTTACCACATTTTGACGTCATCTGTGATCTTTTGCTGAAGAGACACACGGAGACATGGAATTTATCCATTTTAGGTAATAAAAAAGCAGGAAGTAAACGTTGCACATAATGACGTCATCTAAACGTCTTTACTATGACAGATCGTATGTAAGAACAATTATTATGCCCCTTGTAAAATTCAGCATATATTATAAAAGATATTACGTACTTAAGTGGCATGGGAAACTGTGTGACCCCAGTCGCTCAGAGCTTTCCACGTTATAACGTTCTGTTGTAAACGTGTCCTTACGAAAAAGGCTAGAACACTGATCATGTCTGAAATTTTAGAAAATTTCGAGGCGAAAGCCAAGTTTCAAGGCGAAAGCGAAGCCGAATTGATACGAAACAAACTGGAAACACTCATCAGCAACATCTTGGCAGATGTAGGAAAACGTGATCCAAGATTTCAGAACACTTTGGTCAAAAGCGGAAGTGTCTACGAAGAAACGAAAGTTTGCCAGCCGAATGAATTCGACTTCATGGTAAAGATAACCCCTCTTACAGACAAACCATTAATCAAGCAGAGCTCCTGTGCGAAGACTGACGGCTACGTGAAGCTATTTCTCGAGGAAGATCACTGGAAAGACTTCAGAGATAGAAAAGGTTGCTTCAGTCCATACTTGCTTTCCCGACACTTTAAAAAACTCATCATGGAATCAATAGATAACGTGGAAACTCCTGAAGGCTTGAGCATCTACAGAGCTCCCCAGGACGAGTCGGAGGGACGTTTGTGGCTCCTTTATCGTGGAATACTATGTGACAATGGCAAGGAAAATTCATCTGGTGTCACATACTCCGAAACGCATGGGCCATCGACGACGCTTGATATTCACTGGAAAGGGGGTACAACTTATAACAACTTGAAAGTGAATGTCGACTTGACACCAGCTCTGGACTTCCCCATATCCAAACTTCCCGTTCAGCTCTTAACTGATCTACGCCCCGAAGTGCAGCAAAAGATACAAGGGATTCTCCAGAAGACTGGATTCCATGTTGTTCCTGCTGGGTTTGACGAGTGGCGCATCTCGTTTTCTGTGGCCGAGAAAGAAATTCTGGCCACTTCTCCTGACGGTTTCAAAGCATGTTACAAAGTCCTGAAAGTCTTACGAGATGATGTGTCTATGAGGCTGGGATTGAGAGACTCCTTAGTACCATCGTACATGTTTAAGACTGTCCTTCTGTCCCAGTTGTTTACCAAAGATGGCCATGCCTGGGAGAAGGAGTTTCGATCTCAAACGATCATCGATGTTTTAGAGTTCATTTTGCAAGGAATAAAGCAAGAAAACCTTCGAAATTTCTTCATGCCCTCATCTCTGCTACTATCCAAGGCACATGATAACGAATTGCGGAGATGTCTCTTAGAAGACATTCTGAACGAAGTGAAGGGTTCCAAATTGGCCCACTCACCGATGGACGTTGAAGAGAAAAAACAACAGGTGAAGATTTTGCAACTAATTGAGCTGTTGGAGTACATATTTTCTTGCCTTAAAGGTGGAAAGAATCCAATTAATGTTTGGAAAATGATGTTTGCCAATATTAGCAGCGTTCCTGGATCTCGCACCTCTTCAGAAAAATTCGACGTCAGTTGGATCGATATTCTTGACGTGACCGTCAAAGAACTTTGCCCAGACGCCTACAAGAATTTAAAGAAGATATCGGACATTTTGAAAGACTTAGTACCGCGTTTCCTTAACAGTCTTCAAGGTGAGGAGGAAAGGCAATTGGCTCAAAAGTACTATTTCTTTCTCTTAGAGAAAAGGAAGAAATTCGAAGCTAAGCAGCCACACCAGTCTAAAGAGGAAGTCCGACAGATAGGCATTTGTGAATTTGTGAGCGACTGGATTTTAGTACACATTGTTAAAAAATACTTGGAGGAAGATAATACGACTTTGTCAAATACACCCAAAATACTTCCTCCTGAATTCTGTCTGCCAGAAGACAGTCATTTTCGTGCAATTGCAGACATAACCATGGAAAAAGGCAGCAAGGAAGGCCTGGCTCTCTTCGAGAAAGTTCTCAACAAGTACCTATCAGGGATTCCCCGCGAAATCGTAATGATCTTCTTTGTTTATTTTATCAAGGAAACGTTCTTACATGCAAAGGAAGCACTGAAACTCAAACTTGATCACATCACTATTCCAGAGCTAGATTTGGACTGAGCTGATGTTATTAAAATATCTCTTCCCTCGGCAAGGGACAAGGTAGTGCTGAAGAAAAATCCGTGTGTTCTAATTGCTTCTTACTTGGTCCGTATTTTTCCATACGGGCCGTTTCCACAGAAACGGTCATAAGCCGTGTGCGGTTAGTCTGCCTATTACACTCTATATATTTACGCAAATTTATAATCTTTTAATCGTAATTTTCTAAATTACGGCCCAAATATTTCCAAACAATTTACTGAATTTAGGTAATTCGGCTACCTATGACTTCTGCCTAGCAATGGCTGATATGGACAAGCTTGAGCAAAGACGTACCCTGCAATCGCTTATCTTATTTTTTAAATGTTTTAAACTAGATGGCCCAAATTATATTTCCTTATTTTTTACACCTCGGCTAACTAAATACAATCTACGAGACAGTGGATTAAATGTTGTGCAGCCTCCATATAACAGTCTTGTCATGCACAACTCTTATTTAAACATGATTGCCCACATATGGAATCAATTACCAACTGTAACCAAATCCTCGAGCACTTTAGCGCAATTTCGTGCTCGCCTTATTAAATAATGTCAATTTCACAGGGTGCCAATGTATGAACTGTATATAACTTTATCTATTTTTACATTTTTACATACTCTTGGGCTAGTTTATATACATATATTATTATACTGATATAATTATATTTTTTTAATATTTTAATCAGTTAATAACGATTATTCCGTTTTAAACTATTTTAATGCATGTTCTTAGGGTTTTTTTAGTGTAAAAAAAAACAGTCTTTTATCAAAGAATTTTAAAAGGTTTTAATGCTACAAAAATCCAAAAAGAATTATAAACATATAATTATTATATGAATTATATGTATTATTATATATTATTATATGAATTATATGTAAATTCACTTTTTATCCTGTTTTGTATTTTTTAGTTTGTCGAGCGTTTTTAACATGAGCCTCTGGCTCGGAAGATTGTGTAAACACTTCCCACGTGTTTGACATTAAATAAAGCATTCATTCATTCATTCAATTTACAGTGCTTTGTCTCACTACATCTGTCTTGAAGTAATTGTCGTTAGGCTATACGCAAGCATTTCTCCCTCCAGACGTGAGGATGCAACAAAATTGCTGCAGTCGTAGATAAATTGTAGTATGTTTTTAGAAAATGAGCGCTTTTAATGGCCTTTTTTGAAGGTTTACGACTGTTCATCTGTTGTCACGACACACTGCATCATGTACTAGGCTGACCACACGTTTGTTTGTTTGTGGTCATTAGACTTTTGATTTTGTTTTCTGCTTGATAAAGGGAGGAGGATCCAGCAAATCTGGAAAGAGTTTAAAGGGTGTGCCTCAAAAAAGAACATTTTTGCTTCCCCAGAATCAATGCTCATTAGGAAAGGGTTAAGCCTCTGAGTTAGAGGACAGTGCTGCGACTTGTCATAGATATCCCGGTTCACTGAGACCTTTGAAATTTCAATATTTACAACTTTTGTATCTAAGGACTGTATATACCGTATTTATTCGATTAATTAACCGCCTTGGGCGCTTATTAAATTTTTGGACCTTGACAGTGGGCGCTTATTCGCGGTGGACGCTTATTAAATTTTCACCATTTTCAGCAAGTGTAGTATGTTTATTTTGCAACAAAACAATAACTGGTAATAAAAAATGCGAATGTGGAACAAGGCAAGGTTTCTGTACAATACTCTGAAGAAAACTCCTTCTTCGGGAAAGTCTCTTATTAGTACTTATTCAATTTTTTTAAGGGGGGGTGGGAGGGGGAAGGGGGCTGAGGTGGGGGTGGGCGCTTATTTGAAGGGGATTAGGTGGGGGTGGGCGCTTATTAACTTTTTCTGCCTATAGGATGGGCACTTATTCGAGGTGGGGGCTAATTCGAGGTTGGGCGCTTATTCGAATAAATACGGTATGCCACATGAGGGGGCGGTGGGATTTTCGGTTTTTCGGTTTTTCGGTTTTGGTGTCCGTTGCCGTTTCCGGGTTTTCAGCTTTTTAACATCTGGTTTTCGGTTTTTGGCAAAAAATACAAGCGGTTTTTCGGTTTCGGGTAATTTTTTGAGCGGTTTATCGGTTTTTCATTGACCACAACCCCCCGGACAAAACCCTCCTCATCTATAATACGTCAAACAAAGATGACGTGGCTTTCAGTGTCTTGATTGTCTCAAGAAGAACAACGATGGTGGATTGTTCGGCGGAAAAAAGTTTTGATCACGGCCACACAGTAAGAGGTCGGTGTACCAGATTAAAAAATAGAGATCATAAATTTTCTGTTTAGTTTAATTTTCGAACTAGATCAGCGTGGAGCACATCGTAATTAGCTGCGGATAAGATGGGATCAGCATTAAAACCACCCACTTCTGGCGAATATTAAAAAAAAATGTGATACATTCTTACTGATTAACCGACGATTATTTTTGAAAAACGAAAGAAAAGTAGTCCAAATATCTGTACGAGTCTTAGAAGGGCTGGTATATCCAAAAGCGCATCTTTTTCTGTTGAAAGCAAGCTAAAATAATATTTTAGCAGGCGTCCTTTTTTTCTTCTTGTTCACCTGCCTGGTTTTTATCCCAAAGTAAATAGTTGAGTCGATTAAATCACCGGATGAATGAGCGCTCTTGGTTCGAGGACCCCGACTTGTGTGAGGGTTTTTTTGGGGGGCGTGTGGGGGGGGGGACGCGCCATTTTGCGCGAAGCGCGAGACGAGTGAAGGGACCCCTCGCCTCGTCTTGCGCTTCGCACTCGTTTCGCGCCTCGCCTAAAATACCACGTTCGCCTCGCTTGGCTCATTAAACGGCTTGGCTCATTCTATACTGAAATGTTTCAGCAAGCGTCACCACCAGCCAAAGCCGGTTCAGAAGTATTAAGTGTAGATTAGTTTCTAGTTTCAAGCTGCCCTTGTCGTTACTTTAGCGAGGCTTGGTCGAAGCCGCTGCTGGGCTGCGTAGGACGTTGAGTTCTCTTAAAACCTCTGGTACTCTGGCTAACTGCCCCATATTCGGCTCTGAATCTTTTACTTCGATTCAAGAGAAGGAATTAAAAAAACCGGCTGTGTTTATAACTCGTTAAACACTTTATAAACTTAATTAAACTTACCATTTTATCCGTAATTCTTATACTGCTATTGTATTTTAACAGTTGCACTAACGTGCGACGCTAACTGTTTAGTCCAGTAACAAATAACTGTCTGTGTCTAAGTGCTCAAAAATGCGCTCGATGTCCTTGAGTCGATAACAAAACTGTGTTGTCAGGACTAAAGCCGTAAAAAGGGAAAGTCCAAGAGCAGCGGTGGGTCTAGGGGAAGTGGCCCGGGACCCCGAACCTTTTTTATGAAAAGTAATTTCGAGGCCGGGGTTTCCTCTTATTTTATGACCTACGTAACAAGCGTTTCTGCGCGAGTTTGTCGGCACGGCAAAAATTGATTGTACACTGAATACACCCACCCGGGTATTACCCTACTATCTGTCTCTAACATACCTACTCCTTAAACATGATTAGAACACCTCGCTCGCAATCGTCAATAACTGGCCAAGGCTTCATGAAAGGCGATATTCTCGAAACTCCGTCTCTTTTTTCCCATCCCCTCCCTCCAGAGGATGGGACGAAAAGAGAATTTGGGTACGCGGCTGAGAGCGTCGACGATTGTCATTAGTGAGCGTACGTAACAGGAGGGAAGAGGAAAGAGACGACGAACCTTGTGCGACAAGTGTAACAATAATTTTGTTTGAAAAACTTTTCCGCCGAACTTCACCCACCTTAAAACAGGTCTTTTTGTAAAAGACCAGAAAACATGAACTTAAGTGAAGATCATGACAAAACACGCAAGTAGTAGCCTTGTCACGTTTGTCACACACAAGCGTTTTGTCGTCCTCACTGTTGTCCTCTTCTTTCTGTGGTCCTGTTGAGTAAACTCACCATTTATAGGGACCTCACGTGACGACGACGACGACGGCGACGGCAACGACAACTGCGAAAACGCAATTGTTTTAGATTGGCTAAGACTTGGCACGTGACAAGCTGCCGGAGAAAACAGCCGACGTCACCTCCTTAATCTGGTTTGTGCTTTTGTTTGGTAACAATTTGTTTCAACCAATCAGAAGGCACTACCCAGATCTGGGTAGTGACACGTCATCAGTATGGAATCTCTGTGTTTGTTCTTCAGATGTCATTTCGCAGGAAAATCGGTGGTCGCGAAATGTCTGGCTGTTTTCTCAGGCTAGACTAGAATGTTAAACTTCCTAATTTCACGTTTTATGGACACCGTGCACATTGCACAAGACCACATTTTTTTTCTGCCCTTTAGAATTCAACCTCCAAAAAATATTGGCAACATTTGACAAATTGAATTAGATGGAATATTGAAAAAGTGCAAATTCACTTTTTAGTGACGTCATTTGGCCCCGCGCCGTTGCTTTCGTACTCAGTAAGCTCCCTATTTTTAAACACTTTTAAAACTTTTGAAAGCAAAGCAACTCACTAAGTTTTTAATGTTAATCCTGCAAGCAAGCCCTGTACTTAAGAATTGCGATGGAAAATGGTTAAGACCCACCCAAATCGTTCGTCTGAACTCTTTCAAGTTTAGCTATCTCAAAATGATGGGCTTGCTAGCAAGTTGGGTAAAGTTCTTCTTTCATATATTATTATTCTAATATAATTGTGATATTTAAGTCTCCGTTGGGTCTTAACAGTTGAGACACGTAACGACCTGTCGGAACATTGGAATTATATGCTTAATAAGAGTGATCAGAAAAACGCAGAAAGTTCTTCTTTCCACTCTGAAACCTCTGGGCTTTTTCCATGACCTTTCGATGCAACCGGCGAAGAGCCTCGTCTAAATCTTCCTTTATGATGAGTGTTTGGATAACTTAGTCTGACGTGGGACAAAGATTCGAGCAGGCGTGCGTTTGCATTTCGAAGATTGTCGATTTCTTGCTTTTGAGCTTCCATTTTCTTTTCAAGCTTAATCAATTTGTCGTCTTTGTCAGGTTGCGATTGCAAAGACCCCACTTTCCTCCGAAGTGATTTGATCAGATTGTTTTTCGTGGATACCTCGTTGTTTAACGACTCGATGGTCGCGTCCTTAGCTGTCATAAGTCTTGTGATCTCCTTTTTCTCTTTAAGAAAATCCGCCTCCAAAAGGGTGAGTTTCGATATAACTTCCTTCATCTCTTGGTCATAATCACACTGATATTGCTCTAGTTCCCGCTCCTTTTCTTTCAAAGCGTAGGTCACATCCAACGCCCTCGTTCGCTCGAGCTGCAATTCTGTTTTCACTTGGTGAAGCTCTTCATGGAGCCTTCGAATTTCATCTTTTAAAATGCTTACACTGCCTTCGAGCTAAAAGTGAGCAAACTCAGTTAATATCTTGTAGTAAGAGAGAAGCAGATAGGTTACAGCTACGATCTATATATGATTCTGAATAAGTGATTAGCGTAGTGCTTCATTTCATGGGGTCCAGGTTCAACCCGCCTTGTTCACATTGCCCATAATGCGTAATACATCTTGTTCACCCCCCCCCCCCCCCCCATTTCGCAAAATAATTTCTTCATTTTTGGTGGCATATATATCGTCCCAAGAAAAGTGAAAGTGAAAACAATGCTCATGCATAGGGGGGAGGGGGAGGGGGCGGTAGATAGGGGTTTTTATGGGGGGGGAGAGAGAGTTGCGAATTCCATTGATTTCCTTTGTTTAAGTAGACAATACAAAGAGTAGAAACTTTCATTGATGCCTCCTACAGCTGAGGTGTACAAAAGGGCAAAGAGTAGGACCACTGTTAGCAGCCTGTGTGCAGACGCCCCCTTTTTAGCGGTGGGGGGTCTCTACACAGGCTAGACCACTGGGGGTGACTTTTAGATTAACTTTCATTGCCTGCAGGGGAAGGTGTAACACTCCTTGGTGCTCTATGCTACTGACACTGGCACAAAATCCGGTCAAATGGGCCTCCTATTGGGTGTTTGTCTTCATCTGGGTTGGTGTCGAAAGTAATACAGTGGAACATAATTACTCGATATAACTAACCTTTATTTAACGAAGCTACGTTAGTTCTCGAACTATTTTTTAAACCCCCGTAATAGTAAAATCTATGTAAAAGAACCTCGAAATAACGAAACCTCGTTATAGCTTACATATTGCCAGTCCCTTGGCCCTTCGTCATATCAAGGTTAAACTGTAACACCCTTCGTTTCTAGTCGGATGCATTCTAAATACATCATCTTCAATAACGATGTTCAGTAATCAGGCTAAATTTTTGTACAGGAGTTTTGACTTTTGTCCGGCGATGCTTTACAAAGTAAGGAGCCACTAACCGACTCCTTCATCATCATCATCATCACTAGCCTTGATATTACTAAACGAATTTACAGACTACAGCATATTGTTAGGAGAGGAGACCTCAGTCAAGAAACCACCAGACTTATAGGGGAGGCCACCTCAACATCACAATATGATAAGAAATAAGGGCTGTAAAGGAGTAAGGCTAGGCTAATTCAGTAACTATTTTAAGAAAAATTCTAGCACTTTGTTCTTAAAGAAAGGAAAGCTTGACAAGTTTGTAATAGATACAGGAAGACAATTCCAGATTTTTGGTCCTAATGGTTAAGAATTGTGAATTTTTTGATGTTAGTACGATAGGAATAGTTTTTTCCTTTCCTCGGCTACTTAATAATATTTTCGTTGAACTATCCAGAAAAGAACCTTTTCGCCGAGTCAGCAACTCAAGCACCCACAGATGGCCAAACTAAAACGAGAGTTCATGGATTGTCACGAAATATTGCGTGACAGGCATTTTACTGATAATGATTTACTTTCACCGAAACATCAGTTAAAGAACAAAGCTGCAATTCATGGATAATCTGATAATAAGTGATCAGTTTCAGAACAAAGAATACTGATTTCCAATAATTACAGTGAAGTACATTTGGTCGTAAATACTTTCCCTCAGTGTAAAAATGCAGGCTGCAAACCACGTCTACTTGGCGTATGTATTAAAGCCCCACGCATTAAAGAGGGATGGTATGAAGCAATATAGGAAAACGGAACATAGATAAACATACACAGGACATACAGGAAAGTGAAATAAATTAAAACTTTTTTGTATTGTACCCAGAATTTTAATTAGTGATGGTATATTTTAAAGAAACAGCAACAAAGGGTTATCCTAACAGATTATATTTAAGAAGTGTGCAAAGTAGTTGTGTCTACTTTTAAAATTAAAAGTAGTTGCGATTAAAAATCATACTTAACTATCGGTATGACACGAAGATCATGTTACACTGACACGTTGTAAAATATTTTCAGGAAGACAGAATACTCTTTCCCGTTAGAAATAAAGCAAACCACGGTAAAAGTTATAACATAGGCATTTTCCGACAAGCTGTCAAACACACTTACAGTATGTGTCGATTGTTTGCTCGCCAAATCAAATATGTAAACGCTAGAATAAAATCTCGGGATCTCCTCGCTATGTTTGAGTGCGTCTCTGACGTAATGTTTTCTTCCGTGCAAAACGTGTCGTTTAATGCCACGAAGCTAGATAAATAAGCATGAAGCTTAACCAAGTATAAAAGCATTTTTCGACGTACTAAAATAATAAATGTGCCGTCAACTTAGTTGTCTGCGTCGTCTTTAGTTTACAATGGCGCGAATTGGTCAAGGGTTAACAATGTTAAACCGCGTACCTCGACGCAATATTATGATAATGTTGTCGTGTCGGGATCATTTCTCTCAAGATGTCATCTACTTACCTGTTGTCTGGACAGTTTGGGGCTTTTCGAGGACATTTTAAGGTCTATACTATGACAAGACGGACTCCAAAACACATGACAAGAGACCTCGTACTTTACCGCACGGCTTGCAAACATGTGACCACACCACTTGAGGTTTCTGCAAAGAAATGCGAGCAATGCGAAAATCCGTTTGATATCGATTAAATGCAGTTAACTATTAACAAATATAACATACCTCAGATATTATGAGCACTTCAGTACAGTCAACTCAAGATATCCTTTCTCGGCAAAGAGTACGTCAATAGATGCTCCAGCTGAGATAAATCATTTATTTGAAAACGTGCAAAAAAAACCACTACAATTCGACCGTGTGGGGCTTTTTACAGACTGTACTTTGTATAGCTTTGCATGGAGCGTGGAACCATATGATCTTCTTAGCACCTTATGAAATCTTTTGTCTTGTTAGATTTGATCACGTCTAGAGTATTTCAAACAACTAGCAAACAACTTCACACTTCACAGGTTATTACTTAATTTACAGAGAGATGAATACGTTTGTTTAATTAATATTTGCATTATGAGGTTCTTTTCGTCACAAAAGAGTGCGGGATGCAGAAAGAATTTGTTTTTCACCGAGTTTAAACAAATTAAAATGAGAGCCATACTATCTCATAAGATCCCTATGGCACTGTCGTTTAAGCCTTTTGTCACGTAAACTGAAGTTAAGTTCCTTGTCACATTTAATAAAAAATAATAGACTAGGAAATTGCAACAAGCCCAACTGATTTGTTTCTCAGTAAAAGTTTTTAGTCAAAGGCTGCGGTGCCCTTTCTCTCAGTACATTACAGTCAGCAGACAGTTTATTAGTAATTAACCTGAGATCAGGCTCTATTTTCGTTTCGCTTTGAAAATTACATTCCGGCGGGCATGGCGAAACGAAAAGAGATTTTTAGCGCAGGCCGTTAGAGAGAATGTATGAGAACCGCTAAAATTGGGCCTGATCTCAGGTTAGTTAGTAATGAATGTCTTGTGCTTTACTTAATACAATGAAAAATCCCGCCATTCTGCAAGAATAGTGAATTTTGTTTCGCTTTTCAAAGGTTAGTTATTACTACCACCGTACAGCAACACCGGTGTTTTTTAAGTCGCCTAAACCATTCTCAGTAACATGGTTAGCGAGCGTGTTGTTTACTGCTACAATTAGGAGTTTGCTCCGTCCAAAATTACGCGCGCTTTATTTCAATTTTTCCCGCTTTTATAGACCAAATTGACCAAAACATTTTACTTTATTTCTCCCCGTTGTATCTCGATATCGTTTCACATGCAGTCTCTCTTCAGATTTAAGCACTTAAAAAAATCATAGAATCCACGAATCCACGACAATGGATGCTGAATCACGCTGAGGCAATTGATACAACACTCCCGGGTCGATCAGCTGCGTTACGTCACACTAATTAAAATCCATCGAAGCGTTATGAGATCACGCACTACTATTCAAGTGCACGAGTGCTCTTTTTTTCCTTTTTTATTTTTTTAAATTCCACTTTTCATATTTCTGTTGCACTAATATCTTTCATTTGACCACAGGCATACCACCCTCTGTTTGGGGGCCGTTGTTGATTGAAATTTATAGAAGAAATACATATGAACAATACAGTGGCTATAATTTGTTCCAAAATGCAGAATTTACAGCAAATATTTCAATAAAAGTTTGAAGAAAATGTTAAATGAGTCATGTGTCATGTTTTTTTCGCCGTCCCGTGCTGTAAGCGCTATTTTGCGAGATGAACATTTGACCTCGGCGGTTAGAACCCGCGGCTGTGGCGTACCTACCTCATGAGGAACGCAAGTAAGAATAAGCGCACAAGGAAGTGAACAGAAGAAGGTCCCAGTGTCTCCCGCATTAAGGTGGCTGGATGGGGTTTTTCTGGGACAATAGCGGCCAAGTTTGAGCATTAACTACGTCGCCATTAACAAAGATTTGGGAAAAATTACCACCACGGCTGTACTAGATAAAGATGAAAATTTGTTATGATCAGGGTTGCAATGGCATTGGAGTCGTCATGGCAGCGAAATGACGGCATTACCTATTTTACTTGCAGCCGTATATCTCGGCAGCGGGAACTTTTTTTACAAAATAACTTTGGGATGAGGCCAGGATGAATGCTTTACCTTGTGTGGAGAGGGGCCAGCAAAAGGCTTAAATAGGTAATTTGTGGAACCTTTATGTAACGGGGATTGTTGATTTTTTTTTTTTTTGGAAGGCCCTGTAAAGTAGGAGAATGTGAGAGAAGTTAAGGGATAGGTTGTGAATGGTATTTTTCGCTCGAAGAGTTAATTGTGGTAGGTTCTGTGAAAAATATTTTTCAGAGACTTCCACGAATTACTGTACTGCACAGCAAAGAGAAAACGTAAACTGCCATACAGGGCATTTTAATGAGAAATTTCTGTGAATGCTTAAACACCCGGCCATTTAAAGAAAACAAAGGCGCTCTCTTTTTCTACTTGTGATAACCCAACCTTAATAAAAAAAAAAAAAAAGATGCATCAAGATTATAAAAATGCTGAAATAATTAACAATTAATGAATGAGGCTGAGTATGTTACAAAGAATTATGGAGATCGAGGAGGGTGTTATCCGTTGAGGCCTTAGGCCGAGGTGAATTCAATAATTGTTTTATTATTCCTTCAAAATAATTCCTACTTTAAAAACATAGCTAAAACATGCTTACCTTCATCGATGTTAAGTTCATCTTCGAAAATATTCTCCAAATAGCAAATGTCGCCTTTCGAGTTGTCTTCTTGCTGTTCTTACCATGTTTTTAGCTATTATTTCGCCTAGTTCTTACTCTTGAAACAAGTGAAATGAACGCCATTTTTGTTTTCACAACCAAAACAACTCAACCTCATCCCCAGGTCTTCTCGGTTAAAGTGCATTAACCTGCAAGGAAGCTGCACGTTTGACGTCATCGGTTGATTAATCGCAAAATTCTTCCAAATTAGGTCATCAGTAGCTGGTTATGGTGAATTATGCCTGTGCTTTTAGCCAATCAGAATCGCGAAAATATTTTGAATGAATAATAAGAGTTGCCTGCGTGCAGACGTCTCCTATTTCCTTTGTTGCACGCGGAAAAGGGACAGCGTGCAACAAAGGAAATAGGAGACGTCTGCACGCAGGCAATAATAAGAGGTACCGGTAATATAAGGTCACAAAATTATTCATTCAAAGAAAAGTAGAAACAGTAATACTACTGCCCTTGTTTGTTACATGTCTCGTGAGCTCTTAAATCAATTCAATTCTTTAAGGAAATTTTTATGTTTGTGTCCTAAGTTCTATTTTACTTTTGATTTCTTTTTCTTTTTTCATAAAACAAGTCATGCAGTCGGGTGGTAGAAACAAAAACAAACATACTATAAGTGAGATAAAGTAACTTTGACGGCGCAGGTTTAATTGATGTCATTCGTTAACAATACAACTACGTCATGTTTCTTACAAATGAGAACCAAGTGAGGCAGCTGACTTTTTCTCAATGTAAATAATCTCACAGAATTTTAAGACAAACAAACTGCAATTAAAAATTTAAAGCCGCTTTCAGAAGCTTTCAAATCTTCAAAGAGCTGAGATAAAGACTTTGTGTTTTGTAGCTGCTACTTTAATTTTATGTTTAAATAAAGAATCTACAAAAACACTTTAGAAATCGTTGACAATTGTTTACTATTTAATTTAGCAATTCGACAAGCTACCATTCCAGCTTGTTTTAGTTTTTCCTCTCGTTGTTCAATACTTTCTATATTATTCATTGCTCCATAGTCAGGCCGTTTTCAGTCCCGGGGGAGGGGTGGGGGGCACTTGGGTATTTTTTGGGTGGGTATGTGCCGCCCGGGACTCCAAATTGGCACCCCGTTCTAAAAAAATTTTCCCCTAAAACTGATACTCCGTTCTAGAAATGGGCCAATTTTTTATACTCCGTTCTAGAAAGTTTGTAAATTGAAACAGCCCCTATTTTTTAAAAGATATTTCTTTATTTGTTCGACTTATACATCAAATAAATGCTTCTTTACAATCAGCAACAATTTTAAGCAGAAGATAAAGCCGTGATCCACAATTTTTTATACTCCGTTCTAGAAAACGCCTCTGAAATGGATGCCCCTTTCTAAATTAGGAGCTTCAAAATCACGACCCCGTTGGGCGGCACATACCCGTATAGGTAATGTATGGGAGTACCCCTCCCCCCCGGGTTTTCAGTATTGTAAATATATAATGTTTTTAATTTTGTTGCCGGTTTGATAATTGCGCTGGTGTTAAGTCATGCATTAAAACACCAGCAATATTTCTCGTCCTGAAGCTTGTATTAATGGTAACATTTTATTAAAAGGTTATAGTTTTTAAGCCAACAAACAAACAAACCCAAATTACAGGGTTGTTTAAAGGGACTCGGAATTTCATTGCTTTGCTTTTAAACCCAGTATGGTTTTGCTAAGTTTTGACTGGTTTCAGTAATCCAGACCACGTCACCAAAAAGAACGCCATTATGCTTGATTTATACTGGTTTCAGTACACTCGGCTTATTTTCACAAGTTTGTTTCCTCGTTACAAAGTACCATTGAGTTATTTGTGGCTCTAGATCGAACTGTGACCGTCGTAACGAGGGAGTGTCTTTCTCGGACAGTCTTGGTATTCTGGCATCGGAAGCAACCATATAAGGCAGCTTTCATTTCTACACGAAAATTTTCGTTCACCACACAGTAAACAAGCGGGTCCGCCGCTGCATTGACGGCAATTGATATGTTGACCATCGTGAAAAGAACGTAAAAATAACTTTGACGGCTCAATAGTGTCCAATATGAAGCGGCCAGCGCGAATATGTGGAGAGGCAGCATTGTGGCTGCGAACACAATGACCAGCGGCTTGAGAATCCGCTGGGTTTTTCTGGTTTGGATCAGAATGGCCCTGGTATTCGAACAAGTTGCTTCGCGAGAACAGCTTGGCGTCCCAGCTAGAAGGGCTTCAGATCTTTTAGCCACTCTTTTGCTTATGCTTTGGTAGCTTAAAGCTATAAGGCCTAGAGGAAGGACGTACAGTATTATGGCGTTGACTGTCACAAGAATGCGATTAAAAGTAAGCGAAGCGGTGCTTGCGCATCTACTGTGAGAGCTGTTATTAGAATGGTACTCCACGTGGATAAACGCAGGGATAGATGTAACGCCGAACGATATAATCCATATCGCGGTTATGATGAAGCAGGCCCGTTTCTTCAACGATTTCCTTTGTCCAAGACGTATCTTTTTGGTCTTCCTAGAAGTGTTTAAGTAACGCTCAGCAGCAATCGCTGTTATAGTCCAAATGGAAGCACTGAAGAACGTCTCTTTGAAGGTATTAACGTACAAACATATCACTTTACCGAGGATCCAGCGACTTCGAAGTTGAATTCGCAAGATCACTATAGGATGATTGAACAACAAAATTCCAAGATCCGCGCATGCCAGACTCAGTAGATACGGACTCAAAGCAGATAGTTTGCTTGTTCTTCTCACAATAGTCACACAGACCAGGATATTTCCGACCACACCTAATACACCAAGGGCGGCCTGGATGCTAAGCAGGAAGATGTTCACCCCCAATGGTATTTGCAAATATTGCGAGCCCTCGGTAGTGATGTTTGCTTCACTCGTGTTTCCAAGCGATGTATTACGTAACATTTTAGCAATATGACCTGAAATTAAAATGGCCATGCATGACCGTGTTAAAGTGAACCGGTTTATGGTACGGTCCTTAATGTAACTCATAACCGCCTTTAAATACAATAGAGCTATTTACCGATGTGACGCGCAAAATTGCAATCTTTAAAACTTTTCATTGAACCAAAACTACGGCTTTATAGATCAATTCATCATACGAATTAAGTGAACTTTGAAATTCGGGGAAAATGGAGAGCCCAAAATGTCCAAATTTTTTATACTAAGGAGTATTTACCCTCAACGTTTAATGTTAAATATAAGGACGATTTTTGCGAAACTTTGTAGGTTTGCTGTGAGAAATGTTAGCCGAAATGTTGGCCTATAATATATTACCCCTTCGCCGTAGTGCCAGCCTTGTATTCAGTTTTGTTTGATATTCATAGTATATCAGCTTGGGATGTTTGCAATATAGTATTTTCATAATAAAAACTGTTGGGCTGATCTTCAGTGGCCAAAAGAGAAAGTGCTTACCTCACGATGTTTCTCGGCAGAGATATGAACGATTTTCAGCTTTCCGCCTTTTCTTGTAAAATTACAGTATTAAAACAATGCCAGCACCTGCATGGACAACCCCTGAGTTTGCGGTTTGGGATGCTTGCAATATAGTATTTTCATAATAGAAACTGTTGGGCTGATCTTCAGTGGTCGAAAGAGAAATGGCTTACCTCACGATGTTTCTCGGCAAAGATATGAACGATTTTCAGTGTTCCGTCTTTTCTTGTTAACTTACAGTATTAAAAATAATGCATACAGCTGCATGGACAACTGCTGAGTGACCGCTGAATTTGCGTGTTTATAGGTTGTGTTAATAAATTATTTACAGTACAGGCGACTGAACAATTTGAATGCTGTTAAATTCCAAGCACAAAAATCAAGGCTTTCATACTTTTATAAACATTTGCTTTCCTTAAAAAACTAAAAGTACAAATTAGAATCCACAACGACAAAATAATGTTTTTATGCTATTTCTGTTGAGAGCAAGAATTACCTTAAATGTCGTGGGTCAGTCACATGACGTTTTGTTCGAAAAAACTTAATCATTATCTAGCTAAAAGAAAAAATATACATAGAATTTATTTCATCAAGAATCTTCATTGTGATCATAATTAACAGAGGGCAAAAAAACACTTAGACCCTGTTTACATGGAGTGGGGGACCCCGGTCTAGTGGGGTTGGTTTCTTTTGTTTTCACGCTCTGGGGGACACAAAACAAAAGAAACTTACCCCACCAGACCGGGGTCCCCCACTCCGGCCATGTAAACAGGGCCTTATTCATAGTTTCTCTCACACCACTATGCTATTTGCAGGTGGTGTGATATTTGTATATTTAATGTAAGAAATAAAGATGTTGTTGTTGTTAAGTTTCAGCATGAACACAACAAAAAAAGCACAAAAAATCTGTAAAATTAGCAATACAGTGTACTATTTACAAATTGTAATAAGAATACCGAATATCGCTTATAAAATATGATGTTGCAACGTGCAGATATTATTTCACGGGGGCGCCACTTTGGATATTAGATGGTAGATTGCCAACGCAGTGGGGGGAACGTCGAATGAGCTTTAATCACCTCATATCCATCAAAAAGATAAATGAATTCGGTGCCTCTCACATGTCAGACGCCTATCAAAACTGCCACATTTGAGTAAAACCAAATGTATTGTTTCCAAGTAACGCTTCTCGACAACTGGCTACCTGCGTGCCAAGAAAAAATCCACCGATGATGCATGATGTGGTTGAGCTGTTTACTAAAAAGATTTAATTTTAAGGCGGGTTACATGAAAACCGTACAACCTTGTTTCCAGGGTCGAGAGGGGAACCCTCGGAACGAGATTGGTGAACCGTAGAGGCAAATGATTCCGGGGGGTACTCCTGGGAATTCTTGGTTGGGATGTACCGCCTGGTTCCCCAAATCCTGACTCCATTAAAGGTCAAAAAATCATTTTCTACATCCGTTTTCAGACCTGGCAGCTGAGATCCATACTCGTTTTCACAAAACGCGGCATACATGTTAACATAGAGAGGAATTATGTCATCATTACTTAGATCAAAACGCCGACTAAAAGGTTTCTTAGGGCGCTTTCCAAGGTCGGCGGGCCAGACATTTTGACAATGAAATAGGCTTTTTCCAAGAGGTTTTGCTGAAAATTGTCTCCTTTGCGCATAACATTTAGGATTTGACTGATCTGGATGGTTAGTTTTGATTAAAAGGAAAATTTCGTTACGATGGGAATGGGCTGGCCGGTCAGTTCTGACAAATGAAAAGCGCCCTTAAAATCGATTTCGAATTCGCATATTACTCTTTCTTTCTTTTTTATTTGGAATTAAATCGAGGGATACGTTTATACACTCCCGTATAGCCCCCTCATAAACCATATCCGATTCCAGATTAAAATGAGCAAAGTCTGTACCCATTTTCACAGACCGAAACGACGCATAAACCACGGATACCCTCTGTGGCGGCACATACCTATATGGCTTAAACAATATATAAGAGAGTTGCCCCCGGAAACGAATGCGGTAAAACGAGAAAAATTTGCATGAGCTAAACCGAACTGAAGAAATATTGGCTCCTTTTGCTAACAGATAATTCTGCTCGGCTGATAGGCGTGGTCAATGATAAAAGTCAATTAAATAAAAAAATGTAAAGGTAGTTACATTAGCTATATCATACATCTTTGCGCAAAGTATTTTTTTTGGCAGTCCTTGAATATTTTTGTTAGTTATACATACCAGATCACCATCATGCATTTTTTTAAAATAGGGGGCATAAGCTGATCTTTAAGTCTATCATAAAGGACAAAATGGCGAAGAAAAAATCGTTTCGAGGCCAAACAAATTGAGGCAGATTTAACGCCCCCTCGATCACATCTATAATTTACGATAGGTCAGTTCAATAATTGCTCGTAACATCCACTACCTCTATTCGTTGGATTCACTTCAAAAGATCTGCTAATCTCTCGGCATTTCTCGAGATAGGCAGGAATTGTGACTGGCTACAGCAATGCCTGAACCTGATTTTTTAGCTTCAGAGAAGAATCTTTTATCTCTGTTCTATTTTGCATAAAAAAAACACTGGCATTAAAAGGGCTATGTTTCAAACTTCGTAAGTCAGCGAGTCTGAGGGATATTTTACATTAAGTTCATTAACAAGCGCACGTTTTAGTCTAAATAAACCAACCTTATCTTAAACTGCACTTATTGTAATTCCTTGTTCTCGTCGCAATATTTAAGACACCTGCATCTTTATTTGCCAAAATTGCGCCGCTCACAACCATTAAGTATCTTGGGTTTGAGAAACAGAGCATTTGCAAAATTCAAAAGAAATGTTATCTTTCATTCTCCCCCACCAAGTTCGTCTGAATAAAAAATATTTTCTTTCTACTTGCTGTGAGCAACATTAAGGTGGCTCCGTCATTGATACACTGGAACATTTAGCTGTGACAAATTTTCCGTCATAACTTTTTCGTTTTTAATACGATGGATGCAAAACTTTGCAAAGAACAACATATCATTCGGCAATAGTACGAAATGTTCCGATTTCATCGATGGTATACTAAATATTTCTCAAGAAATTAGCGCTTAAAAGGACCGTAATGTTAAAAGAAAATCGCGTCTAGTAAAAAATTTGCTGATATTTTTTACTGAAATGTCTGGTATCGGCTTTTATTGATATAATAAATATGCCGCCCGGAGAAATTTAAGAAATATTATCAGGTAGAAGGAGCCACCAGATCGAATTTTCGGGACAGGTAAATTCAATGTTTGCTTATTCTTAAAACAAAAGCCGATTGCCTATCGTGCTATTCTTTAAATATAGTTCGTAATTAGAAAGTGTAAGAACAAATTCTAAAGAAAAACACAAAGAGAAGATAGCACATACTTGCTATGCCCCCAAACGAAGGAAACTCATTTTCATTCTCCCACACCAAGTTCGTTCGAATGAAAAATATTTTCCCTCTACTTCGGACGACACAAGAAAAACAGAGACAAAAGACAACTAAAGAAGATACAGGTTGGGTAGCCTGTTTCAGGTAGAACAAGCTCTGGAAATAACAAAGAAAGGGCTAACGCACATATTAACCTCGAAAAAGCTGCCGATCATTACTATTGCGAGTAGCAGTAGCAGAAGAGCTTGCACCCTGGTCCAAACGGGCCTTCTTGATGGTAGAAGCCATCTTGCGTTTCTTTCTACACGTGTTGTCCTGCGCTTTTTACATTCTCTTTTAATTTCATAGTCCTCGGAACTGTCTGGTTCAGGAGTACGAGCTGGAAGAATTGGCACCAACCAAGCCGCACCGCTCTTGTCCCCTAACTTGATAAGTCTTTGTCGCTTTCGAATCAAATCCAGAGACGTTTCCAAGCACTTCTAGGCCCGCGAAAAATCACCTTTCTTGATAGTATCGAGAGCAAATGAACTATAATCTTCGATTCCTGCATTAAACAAAAATTGCTTCTCGTTGCCTTTAAATTTAAGCTTCTTGGTCTCAATTTGAATCTTGAATCTCTTAGACTCCGAATCAGGACTTTCGTCTTGAGGAGAAAAATTAGACTTGAAAGCACCAAGCTTATTGTCAATATGACTCAAATTTGTCGAAAATTTGATCTATAGGGTCCACGGAAGGGACTGACTCGCTCGAGGTTCCTTCTTGATGCTCGCGGGCAACTTGTTCAGCCGAAGAACTTTCGTCAGACATGATAAAAGGCTAAGTTCATGGCGAATAAAATTTAGCGTCTCGTAAGTGCGAGTAGACCCGAAACCTGGAATAAATATCCCAGTACACACGCCCCCCGTATATACAGTGAAAACGAACGAACAATAGTTCGTAATTAGAAAGTGTACGTAAGAACAAATTCCAGAGAAAAACAGAAAGACAAAATAACACATACTTGCTATGCCCTCAAACGAAGGAAATTCATTCGAAATGCCGCATTGATTGCTCAAAGGCTAAAACGCCCA